GGGGGGGGGGGGGCCCCCCCCCCCCCCCCCCCAAGCCACTGACGGGGGGGGGACCCCCAAAACCTGGGGGGGGCACGGGGAGAAGTGGGGGAGGGGCGCTGGGAGGGGGAGGGGGGGATCCGGCGGCCCAAACGTTGCCCATGTTGGGGAGGGGGAGGGGAAGGGCTGGAAAACAAAACAAAACAAAACAAAACAAAAAGACAAAATTTTAAATTTTTTCCGGGAAAAAAAAAAATCCCGAATTTTTAACTCGACCTTCCCCCACCCCCCCCCTTTCGAATTCCCGCCACCGCGCCGGGTTTTCCCGCCAAATCCAGACCCTCCAGCAATAACCCCGGCCCCAGTTCCTCACCCCCTTTTTGGGGTGACCCCAAAACGACCCAAAAAGCCCCAAAATCGCCCCAAATTCTCCTCCCCTCCCCCACCCCGCCCCTCACGCTGAACTCACGCGGAGACGGCCGGAGAGCGCCGAGCTCTGGCCACGCCCCCACGCCGCGCTCCCATTGGCTGCCGCTTCCCGCTCTCGCTCTCCAATTGGTTAATCATCTCTTAGTCCCGCCCATGCGCGCTTTCCATTGGTCGCCGCCTCACGGTGTTGTTCCCGTCCCGCCTTTCGGAGGGTCAGGGGCGGTGGAAGCCCCGCCCTTTCTGTGACGTTACGCCCTCCCATTGGTTGAAGGGATGGTCGGCCCCGCCCACCGAGAGCTCCTATTGGTCGGCGCTGCGCAGGGCGGGAGCGACCATAGAGGCGCCAAGGGCGAGCGGGGCGGAGCGGCCATCTTGAGGGCGCCGCCATCTTGGGGAGGGCGGTGCTGGAGGAACGTCGCCATGGCAACGGAGAAAAGGCGGGAAAAGTCGCTTCTATCGCCGCTATCGCGACAGAGGCGGAGCCGTTTTCACCCCCCCTCCCCCTCCCCCGATTTTCCCGCCGCGGTTCGGCGTTAATTTCGGCTCATGACGTCAGAACGCGGGGATGACGTCATGATTTCGCAGCGATGTGACGTCAGGCAGCGGCGCTGACGTCATCGGCGCGCGGCAGAATATTAATGAGGCTTTGGGGGGAATTTTTGTGGATTTTCAGGGAATTTTTGGGAATTTTTGGGGATTTTTTTTGATTTTTGGGGAATTTTTTGGGGATTTTTTTTGATTTTTGGGGAATTTTTTGGGGATTTTTTTGAGGGTTTTTTTGCGGCTCCTCCGGAAGATTTTTTGGGAAAAATTTTGGGAATTTTTTGGGGAACTTTTTGGGAGATTTTTTTTTTGGGAATTGTTGGGGATTTGGGGGGGATTTTTTGGGAATTTTTTTGGGACTTTTTGGAGATTTTTGGGGCATTTTTTGGGCATTTTTTTTTATTTTTTGGGGGAATTTTTTTGGATTTTTTGGGGGGATTTTTTGGATTTTTTTGGGGATTTTTTGAGAATTTTTGGGGGGATTTTTTGGGTAAATTTTGGGGATTTTTGGGTCTTTTTCCCATTATTTCACAACGAGGCTCCATTAACCCTTTCATCGCCGTTTTAATCCCATTTTTAACCCTTTAATCCCATTTTTAACCCTTTAATCCC